CAATTTTTTGGACACCTTTTAATACCTGCTGTAAGTCGCTGTGGGTACACCTGCAAAAAGAGTGACCTTACTAATATTATAAATGAGAATGTTGAGATGTATGAATGTTTATTGCAAGGTATCTCCAGAAAGGCTTCATGGATCTCGCTGAAATTTTGCATAGATGTAGACCATAGCTTAAAAGACAACATAGGCTACTAAATATTTCTTTTAGATTCACGCAGACGGAGTCACGGATGGTAGCTAGTAAAATCATAATTTAATTACACTTAAAATCTTATATAAATCAATAAATCCAACCATATCTGAACATCTTCCTTTCTGTTTGTACAAATGCATGGCAGTATTGTATCTGGTGGGGGGCACACTGCGCACACTTTATATAAACATGTTACGCCTAACATTAACCATAAGAGAGCCGTTCCCGATTTGGTACCCATTCCTCTATATCTTCAGTGTCAATCATTGTAGCATTGTCTATATAAATATTTAAGGACGTACCTGAAACATAGAAATATTGATTTATGCAGTTATGGATTAGACAAGATTTTTTTTATAAAAGAAGGGGGCAAACGTGCAGCGAGAACACAGAGGCGTTCATCAACTCCCATGGACATTGCAATACCAGAGGAACCGCAATTTTGCAAATACTATAAAATTTGCCAAACACTACGTACTTTTGTCGGCAACAAAACAAATATTCAAGGACTGTAAGACACTATTAAAACAATAAAATCTTAAAACAATGGTCCAGTAGAACGATACGCTACGTTGCACTTTTACTTTCATACTATTGTTCCTATTTGTAAGCTATGAAATCAACGTACTCTTTAACTATTTCGGATATTACATAAACAGCTCAATTCTTTATTGTTATACGTAGATATGTAATAATTTGTACATTGTCTTAATCGCTATCTGATTCTAACAGATACACTCGTAATGATATGATGAAAGAGCACTGTCTGATCAACGCCAATGATCATGAAATCAACATTAATCTGTGATTTTAATTAAATTTCTTAGTTTTTATCATTTACTATACTTATTTTACATCACCAGAATGTATATATCTTAAGTTTTGTATTTATACCTAACATATCATAGAATAAGATTTTATATATACTCCACATACATGATGCTTACCCTAACTTAACCCTTAATTCGACGAAATTTTTTGTAGCAAAAAACTGTTTTTTTTTTTTAGTAAAGTCATACTTACGTAATTTTTTCTATACTAGTTCAGTAGATTTTTTTAATTAGTTGTTCTTCACACTTGTCACCATCGAATTAAGGGTTAATAAGTTCTCAATGGACTATTGTTTACTGCAATAAATGAGACAATAATAAAGAAATGTTTTAACACTTGGTGACAAACGTAAGTCGTAACCAGTCAACGAAACGGGTGAATATTACGGTACAGTCACGTTACATACTTATCTCTAACATGGTTCTAACTGTCACGAGAAAATTGCCCTCTGAGTGGTTACGACTACCCACTACTAATATTCGCTAGTGGTACTTATTATTGCGCTGTTTCTATTATTTGATCCTTTTGTACCTAATTGTATCAATAATATATTCATGAAATATATTGGCACCGTATAGACCTACTACAACAATTACTACCTTTACGGATTATATAATCAACGGTGGTAGTCTAAATCTATACCAATGGGCAAAAAGAATAATGAAGTAACTAAAGAAAGAAAAGATGAAAATCTAAATGTGTTTGAATATTCGTAACATATCGTTAAATTATAGATCATATTACTATGTATAAGAGGATTGTAGTTTTTGCTCTATTAAATAAAATAGAAACAATATAATAGTTCAGACCGATCTAGATATTGCAATAGCGGCAAAACGGCTCAGATTAGTGTCATGTCAAAGTATTTGAAAGCTGTGGCAATGCACCCGCGCATGCTAGATACTGCATACAGATTATAAACTGCATTTGCAGGTGCAATTTTAATCAAAATGTTTTAAAGAAATACGGTTTAAGGCTCTAATTTATACATTGGACTACTTTTTACGAAAAGTTTCGGTAAAACTGAAGAATAAATTAAGATTAAAAGATTTGGTAAAAAAAATTAAATATATTTTGATTAAGGCCCTATTTCTTTCTAAAATTAAAATATAAATTCATTAACAGCTTTTAACATCCCAAATTAGTACGTAACTTAAATTATCTTTATTGTAATTTACAGAATATGTCAACCGATATTCTGTTTTTGCAATATTGCTTTTCAAAGTTACGTATGTAATCATTTGTAGCAGTTATGCGGTCACTATACTCATTACCTCATCAGTAATAGCTAACTGCATAATTCTTCTAATTTACATAAGGATAAAATTAAATAATGTAATTCCTGTATTCTATGAGATTTTTATAATTTTAAAACTTTAATTCTTTACCTCCTGTGAAAGCAAAGTTGAAAAAGGATTTTTTTTCTTTCTTTACAGAGTAATTTAGTTAACTTTAATAAAAAGGTTTATTATAGTTTTACAAGAATATTTGAAAAATATAACATTAATGTTCTTAATTATCGTAAAAAATTACAATAGCTATTACCTTAAAAGAGTTTGAAAAATCAACAATACAATACTTACTCATACGTAGACTATCCAAGTATGTATTTTTTCTGATTTGTTCTAAAGCAACTTATAGATGGCAATTCCCGCCTTAATTTTATTAACATAAACTTACACTATAAGGGTCTGGACAAGCGATGCTTTTACAAGACAAACACCGACTGTATTGAGGAGAGCATTTTGCATGAACGTCGGACTTTCGGTTCATGGCTCGATGCGCACCAAGACACTTATCTTTCACCATTGTGGCGCGTGCCGGCGCTCGCATATGCAACCTATTACAACACAGATGTACAACTTAGTAAAAAACAAAATGCCTGATACTATAAACATTTATAGACAGACAAACTTACCTGATCCGGTGGGCAATAATCAATCTTTTCAGGTACCTCGTAAACCCGAGATGATAAAACAAAAACAATTGAAGAATCCAAATGTTGATTTAACTTCCAATATAATTATATTCTAAAATGTTATAAATTATAATCAATAGAGACAAAGCTGACACCATCACATTGTGTGATAGAAGCTAGGCAAAGAAAGAGAGAGAGAGAGAGAGAGACAATACGATTTATGCAGTGCGTAAACAATCAAAACTATTGATTTTACAGGTATTCGAAAGAGTACGAAAGTTTAGACAACAAGGATGAATTTCCGTACGAAAATAATTTTTATCTTTATTCACATTGGCCTACATTATACGCAAATGAAATTAATATTAGCATAAGATTTTCGTTAGGTCATAATTATGTGCTTTACTACGTGAGATGACGTTTGTTTGGATACTGATAGAGCAAGCATTTTAATTATCACTTATCTTCTCGCAAGCGATGATTAACATAGCATGGTTTATATATTTTGACCTTGCCATTTTTAGTTTGCTACAAAATATTTCTAGATCACACAAACATACATCACCAGTTCTACCTATATCATAGTAAATTAAAAGAAATTTATTTACGTTAAAATTATAATTTTTAGTTAGTTCTTTCTGTTTAGTTCGTCTTTGACTGTACTGTTGGTAAATAATTGCATCAGTTGCATGAACGACTTATCTAGATTAATTCCCGCGATGTGGTAATAAGGAAGGCTGTTTGGACAATAAAATTGTCACAACCAAATCTTATCATTTGCGCACATGAATAAGAACATATAAAATTTATAGCTAATTATGTATGTTTTGAAATTGATGGATTGTCTGAAAGAGGATGTGCATAAGAGAGTGAATTCAGATAATATGACGGCTGATGAGAAGAGTACATACTATGCCAACCCACAAAGGGCAGGTTGATGATGTCTGTTTTAAAATATTTTATTTTAAACAGATGTTAAGTTAATTAAGGCAATCTTTCACTAAGAAGCTAAGCAATTGTAATGCTTATTTTGATAGTAGCAACGGCGATATTAGGTTGCAGTTATGAATAAGTTGACATTGATTCTACTAAAAAATCGATACAAAAACGTAGAAATCCATTAATTACAATATCTGTTAAGAAAGTGAAAAATTCTTTTTCTTTGGAGATTTTTTTATGTCATTCGTGGCCCAGACATCAATCGTTATGGTTTATTTTGGCAAAAAACCTGTTTGCAAATTCGGTATATCCGCATCACACGATAGCCTTGAACATAACAAGTTGTTCTCAATCAAATAGCAAAAAATATCTGACTACGTTTGCCAATTTTTTATAATACTAGATGGGTGAATGTGCGCTGTAAAGTTTTATAAGGATTTTTCCTGTAAGTAACATAATATTGCAAATTATGTTTACGATGTATGAAAAACTGTAGTTTCTCAATAGCGACAACTGTTGTAATAAAGGTGCTATGATCGATAACTGATAAAAACATAGAGAATAATTAATTACGTAGGGTCATACAGAATGTACCAATCTTCTTCTAAACCTTATTTTATTCCTCTTCCTTGTCCACTTCTTTGCATAAAACTGGACGCTTCTAAAACTCATTTGAATCTTGTGGATGGATATTTGCCATAGTGGTCTCTTATCATCACGTGAATTGTTTATTTTATTCTTTTACGTCCAGTCTCTTCGTTGACTTTGTTTTTTTTTATTCATATGACATCTTGTTGCTCCATAATAAGTTATTGTCAATGAAGAAAAAAAAAATAGCTATCTATTATTTAGATGTTAATATTGTTTATTCAATAAAGCTTAATAGGCAAAATGTATGTCACATAATTATGTTAATTATTTTATCAATTTTCTTCCATCGAAAATTTTTCCTTTCCTAATACGTAAAAGCAAGGTCGTCTATGCCACTACTACGACACACCTACTTTTAAACCAATCAAATCACTTTATAATTTTATCTCAACGAGCCTTCGAATGGTGGCAAATTAAGATACACAGTCCCCCGTATAGAACCAGTTTGAAGATCTAATACTAAAAAGATCTTACATTTACGTTCACAGCCAGTCACACCTTACCTTTTGCTTTACGCACTCCCTTATCGCGTTCTCGATATCGGTTCTAACAAGAATATTTTAAAATGTCTCTACTAAAGAAAACTTTTCAGGGTGCAATAAAAATAAGTATACGGAATTATAGTGCGAATACTGGTTTAATTAAACCGCCAAAAATACTTATTACCGGTGAGTTGTTTTGTCGGAATTTTATAGACACGTGATAGAATGAAAGTTTTATTGTAACAATTTACTTTTGTTTTCTATTATTTTATGTTGTTTTTTGAACTCGAATTGTATTTTGATTATTTGGAGTATTAGGTGTAAGTCGTAATGAATATTTGAAATTTAATACTTGTTATAAAATTTTAAAATGACTTTCACAGTGTTATTACATACTAATTATTTATGTTAGATTAATGTAAAGATTTTGCGTACGATTGAAGGAAGCAATATTCAAATTAAAATATAGAGACCCTGTTATCCTTTATAAATGGATAGTAAAATTATTAAAATTCATGTCTGTTGTTATTGTAACAAATGGCGCATCAAATATGACATCCTGGAATCCAAAACATGTTTACATATTCAAACTAAACAACGTAATTTGCAGAGTAAACAGAGAACACCTATCATTTGTAATAGTAAACGCGGTGTGCGGTTTCATGCAATATCTAGATAGGTGAATGTTCCAAATACAACCTCAATATATCATGTTATATTTTCAATCTAGCTTATAAAGTTGCCTAATTTTCTTTAATAATATTAAGCGGGTTTTTTTACGCTTAGCTTCATTATTCTTTTTTATCTGGTACATATTAAAATATGATTTACATTGTAATTATTTTTTTAAACCCCGATATTTGAACTTACTTATGAACGACTGTCTTTTGTTATTTTTACTATTACGTTTTAAGTAGCCAATATATTTATTAGAATAGAGTCATGAAATTTAAACCAGTATTGCGAGACAATTCATGATTCGCAAAATATCTACTTCTCCTTGTATATATTAGTATTTGAAAGATCCTATTATCAAAACAAGTAATTAAAATAATAAATCAACTATTTCAGGTGGCCTAGGACAACTCGGTGTTGAATGTGCTAAACATCTACGAGGAAAATACGGCAAAAACAATGTGATATTATCAGATATTATAAAACCTTCAACAGAAATATTTAACGACGGTCCGTACATATTTGCGGACATTTTGGATTTCAAAGGTTTACAGAAAATAGTTGTCGACCATAGAGTCGATTGGTTGATACATTTTTCTGCGTTACTTAGTGCGATTGGTGAACAAAACGTGCCTCTAGCAGTTCGTGTAAATATAGAAGGAATGCATAACGTTATTGAGCTTGCTAAACAATACAACTTGAGAATATTCGTACCCAGTACAATAGGTGCGTTTGGACCAGACTCGCCTAGAAATCCGACACCTAATATTACAGTACAACGACCTCGGACAATCTATGGTGTGTCAAAGGTGCACGCGGAATTATTGGGCGAATATTATCATTATAAATTCGGATTAGATTTCCGTTGTTTAAGATTCCCTGGAGTTATTTCCAGTGATCCACCCGGTGGAGGAACTACAGGTATACTGTTTAAATAATACACGCCTCTTATCTAATTATCAATAAGTTATTTTTGTAGCCCTACTCGGTTATGTATTTTCGGTTTTACGGCTACATAAATATTTTAGAGTTGTAGTAGAGTGGTTTCGATATTCTTTCGGATTATTGCAGAGTCAATCGAATTTTTAAATTAATATGTGAATAATATAATGTATTGCGTGACTAGAAATAATCCCTAGTTCAGTATATAATTTAGTGTACATAGTAGGTGCATTGAAATCAGCAAACCGTATAGAAATACCATGACAATCAGGTTTACTACTTTAACCTACATTTACCGACATTAAGGACATGACTAGTTTTAGATAAAGACCTAACTTTGTTTGGCCTAACCTATTGAAGGAATTAAATAAGTTATAAGACGTAAAATGGATTATATTTTACTTAAATGTAACTTAACAAAGTTTTGATTATTATTACTTATATACAAATCTTTATCTTTCCATTTTGGGAAATGGGCTTACTTAGGTTTTAAGTATTCAGATTCCAATAATGCCATTTAAAGTAAGTCTTTAACAATTTGTAATTATTAAGTTAAAAAATCAGTAGTTAATAAAACTTTTCCCGCTTTTCAGATTACGCGATTGCTATATTTCATGACGTGCTTCGCAAAGGTCACTACGAATGTTATTTAAAACCTGATACAAGACTTCCCATGATGCACGTCAGAGACGCGCTCCGAGCGCTATCAGAATATTTAGAAGCGCCTAACGAAATGTTGCAGAGGCGAGTGTACAATGTAACGTCAATGAGTTTCACCCCCGAAGAGTTAGCTGACGAGATGTTCAAACATTTGCCCGATTTTACGCTTTCATATAAACCGGATAGTAGACAGGATATTGGTAAGTAAACGTTGAAAATGTAGAATTTATTTACTTAGATATTATTTTGGTTCTTTATGCTATTTTTTTCCTGAATATAATTTAAATGTTTAAAATTAAAACTTGACATTTTTATGTAATTTAATGTTTAATTGAATTGGTAACGCCGATAACGCCGGAATGCCGTAAAGACTGAACGCCTGTTAATTTAAAATAGCAATTCTTTAACTACAAAATTTCATCATTTTTTTTTCATAAATTGGGCTTAATCTTGTGCTGAGTTATTAAAGTATTATGTTAAATACCATTTATTTTATTATTCCAGCGGATTCTTGGCCACAAGTATTTGACGACAGCGAGGCTCGACGGGACTGGAACTGGAAGCCAGAAATAGACATGGACAATCTGGTGAAATTAATGCTGAAGGAAGTCAAAGAAAAAATTGTCGCCAATGGATTATGAGTAACACTTAAAACACCCTAAATATACAATGTCTTGATATATTTTTCAGAGAGAGAAGAATGAATCTTGTATAGGTTTTTTTCTTCATAAGTTAAAAACGTATGGTGATCACAACATAGAATTTCATGACATGCGAAATTAGGATTTGAACCCACTATTACGTTTCTATGACGATATAGAATAACATCGGACGAGCTCTAGGTTTCATAATAGGATTTAAAATCAATATTTATATGGTTAGTATTAATGTGCAAGTATCTAAGTTGTTAAAGTTAGTTTAAGTATAAATTACTAATTTGTTTAATAGTTATATTTAAATTTAAATAAAATAAAACAATTATATTTTATTTTCATATTACTTAACAGACTACAAAAAGGAGGAGGTGCTGTATTCATCTGCATTTTCTGTACATCTTACTGTAGGTTTCGGCTACTTATATTGACACACATTGGCATCCCTCAGCGGGGTTAGACAAAGTGAGGCGCGACAATCACGTGACTTATCGAAGCTTATTGTCACTTTTATATATTTTTGAAGTTGCTTATAGAATCGCATCGTAGCAAATGCACTTTGTCTAATCCCCTGGATTCTCTTAAAAATATAGAGACAAGTACTTAAAAATAAAAACTTTTTTTTATGAGTAACAGTAAAACAACAGTTGTATTTAACAACACATTTATTGAAGCGTCCATACAACAAACTTACATTTTATTTACAATATTAATTAGTTATTAAGCGACTTCATCAAATGCCATACATGTTTAAAATGGCATAAAAGCAATGCAAGTGATGTTTGCATTTTTATTGTCAATAAAAATATTCAAATCATTTATTTATTACGTTTAAATAATTAAAAAAAAAATAATTGTGATGTATTTAAATAAAAAAAAGCTTGAAATATAATTCTAAGTATCGTTGCCATAGTTCACAGTGTTGAGGTAACACGGCCAAGATACGAAGGACTAAGGATTTTTTATATTAAAAAAAAATAATAAAAAAAACACGTATTTCTCGTATTTATTAATTATACGTTTCACTTTTTGTCAATTCCAAAATATACCAGTTCTTTTTAGTAATCTTACTATAAGCCAGCAATATTTTGAATTCATATGCACCCGGCGCCATTTATGAATATCAAAATTAAAAAAAAAAGTTTTTATATCATATTATTGTATTCTATTTTTAAAATCCGTAATTAAAACAAAAGACTGGCAACTTTTGATACTTAAAAAAATAAAAATCATCATTATACGCACAAGCACACAATCAGTCTTTCAAATAACAAAACGGCAACGCGAGTCCACATTTCCATACATTCACTAAGACCTACGGACGTAACGATTGTACCACTAACATGCTAAAGTTCTAAGTAACTACATTACTTCGTGATTGTCTATCAAAGTAATTTTCAACTTTAGAAATATTTTTTTCCAAACCTGTATTAAATTACGATATTTTCGTGCATAAAATGAATTTCCATAGAAAAATAAAAAAAAGATATTTTAAACCTTATCATAAACAAATTATTTACGCACACAAGAAACTGTATTGAAAAAAAAATAAAGGAATTCTTAATTTAAATATCAAAATAAAAAATTGCGAAAAAAATCCTTTTCAATTTGTTCATTTCTAATATAAATATTAAAAAAAAGATTGCGTATTAATTCCGATAATAAAATAGCAAAGATCATTTTGATTAGTCACATTATTATGTGCGTAGAAAACAAAAGACAAAGTCATGATTAAAAATAAAATTTAAATCTGATAAGTAAATTATAATTTAGGCAATTCTTATTAAAAAAAAATAATCTATATTGCACTATTGTTTATTATGTAAACATCACTTTACGCTCTTTATCACAATAAAATCGTACGTCGTATATTCTTCAAATGGCACTCACATTGTCGCAAATATACAAAAATAATATTCCTGCAAATACATAGTGAAAACTTATTTCTATAGCTAATATTACACTTATTTAACTCTAAATAAATTTACTAGCGAGACAACTAGCTTTTATATTAATTCTATACGACACCAAACTCAAAATAAACAACATTTTAGTACTAGATATAGTATAAATAGCAATTTGAAAATTACAGTTTTCAGAAGCAAATAATTTGACCATTTAAAGCAAATGAATGGAAGTAATTTTTACACTAACAAAATCGAAGAACATTTTGTGTCGTATGCGGTTATTGCGAGGGACACATGGTAACCGCAAACCGCATCGCGAAAATGGATTTGTTTTACAAATCTGCCTTCTATGAAACAGCGTACTAAAAATGTAAGGGCTTAACATATGCGTTTATCATACAAAAACTGTAAACAAATTATATATTTACATAACAATAAGGCAAATCATTATCGTAGTAAAATAACTTTCATTCAATCAAGTGCTTTATGATCATAAAAAAGAAATTGAAAGTAAACTTAAGTACGTATGTTACGAGGAGTTAGTTGGAAGGAGAAATGCAAATGCAATAGATTAAAAAAAATGTTACCCGCACCCAATAACATGAGGTCTGTGACCGATGACGTCACAGACGCATAGCTTTAACAATCTCTGCATTGAACATTATTTAAATTGGTCGTCTTCTAAAAGAGTCAACAAAGCTAGATGGTAGATAAAAATGAGTAGAATTGTGCGTCATAATTGACGAGGCTTTCATGTTATTGCACACACGTTGCATTATAATGTTATTATATGTTAGATTATAAGCTTATTAACAGTAATATAACGTCAGCAATTTACTTAGGCCACACTCGGAACTTCCTTGCAAAAGAATTTATAGAGATCTTAATCACGTAATTTTAATGTAATTTAAAATAACTTCCCTTATTAAATATTTAGCATCAATTTGACGACTATTGTATATTATATCGTAAATAATGAGTATATTAGTGTTTTACTGGATTTTATTTATTTGTACTTTCGCAGCATGAAATAGAAAAATAAAAAGGTCCCTTATAAACGGATTGGTTGCATGTAGTAGATTAATTACTGAAATTGGGTTCATCATCAGATCACTATACGTTCCCAACGAGTGGCTCGGAGCCTACCCTAAGTTAAGGGTGATTAGACCATAGTCAATAGAAATTGGGTTATATTACTTTCATTGTCTTTAAGAGTAAAAAATATATATTTTTGAACAGTTGTTACCAAATCACACGTTTCAATGGCATTTTTTTTCTATTTTTTAGATAGAAGAGGTAATAAAAAGCATAATTTTTTGTTTTCATTGGATCTATGGATATAAAAGAAGCAATTTATTAAAATTTATATATCTACGTAGTCTCTGCATACCCACTATATGACGAGTGCGATTTTTTTTTGTTTATTGACTAGCATAAGCACATTTTATCACGCATGATAATTTTTTTTTATCTCTCTAATCGGTCTCAATGTCAAGGCAATTCAGATAATTACTAAATGATTCTAATTCCAATATTAGATTTTTAAAAATCTAGAAAAAGTTGATATGTAGGAAACACGAATAGTTTAAAACAGTGCAACCATCATTGCAACTTTATTATTGCGACTTTACACTGCAGTAAAGCATATTGTCATCGCTAACATTCTCTTTGAAAAGACAGAGACAGCATGTTATATTTTTATGTTATTTTTTTGCATCTGTGTAAATGTTGGCGAAACCGGTTCAACAAGGTTGTGTTCTATTGACCTTGTTCGTGTGAACTTTGGATTACTTTAATGTTCCACTGTTTAAAATTACATTTCGAAATCTTCTACATATTATTTTAAATGTGATTTCCGTTAACCGTGAATATTTTAAAGGCTAAATTAATTGAATATTGAATAAAAAAAATTCTTCCGGTTTTTTGACATTACGGATAACTCAAAAATGTCTTTGATGCTACTTATAAGTTGTCTACAAGGATTGTTAATATAATTTATAGCAATTTACTCTATATCCATAAATTTTCCAATACGACAGTCAGTCGAGTCTATTAATTAAGGTATGTTTTACACAAAAAGCAAGTCAGTACGATAATATTACATTCAGATAACCACCTTTAAACTGTTAATTAAATACAAAGTTAATTTAATGCGTACAATTTTAGATTACAATAGCCACTTGCCATTCAACGGGACACATAATACGTATTGTTTTTAAATCGGACATCTATTGGCAAGATTTACACAAAACCTGTTCATTACAATCTAAACACGAATTATTTTTGTAAAGGCATCGTTATTATTATCAGGAAATTTGCGTTGCATATCACAATTTACCGAGCGGTATGGTTTGCATATAGTCGAACCTGGATGAACGAGAAACCTATATAAACGAGAGTTATCCGGTCCCGACGGACGACCTTCATAAAAGAGAAACCTCTATACGCGAGAAATATATCACGGTACCATGCACTCTCGCTTATCCTGGTTCGACTGTATTTTAATTTGTAATTGACGTATCTTACTCTGTCTTCATCATTTTCTGTTGCTGTTCCCTGTGCATATTCAATTCTTTGAGACGTTGTCGTAACTGTGCCTTTTTTAAGTTAGTCATGATTTGTGTTGATTGATACAGCCATGATCCCTGGAACAATAAATGCGAGTCATGATCAGAGATGATTGTGATTATTTTCTATATGATTTTCTGTTTTTTCTTTTTTAAACAAAAATTGGAACGATAAAAGCACAGCCATTGCGTTTAATATGTAAATATGATATCTTAATGTATATAATAACGGAAATTATAAATAATAATATATTTATTATCGAATACAAAAACACTAAATCGCAATTATTATATTTTATGATAAGATTGATACGATAGTACATTGTTTTACTTCGCTCTATTTCTCTCTTTCATATACATTTAAAATGGGACGGCGACAATTGCATTTTTCACCTTGAGCATGACCAACCTCAATATGATGATTAAAATTCAAACCATGAGCCTCATAAATTGCACCGACAGACCGAGTTAAAAAATGTAAGACTTCAAGCGTAATAAATTAATGACGATATTCTTTAGCGATTCTCGTTACGGACACAACTAGAAATAAAAACTACGTGCCTAGAATTTGTGATTAACGGACAATTTTTTTTTTAATATCTCAGTTTAGAGTATTTTACATTATAAGAGTAGTTAAAAAAAAAGATTCAGTGATTTCTATCTTTTATCTTTAATTGTTAACGCAACAGACAAAACATGATTACTGTTGTACTACATTCTCATTTATATTTAGATCAGCACTTGAGCTGATAACACGTTATCGCGGACACCGTCTGCAACGCCTACTGCACTTAATTTATTTAGTAATACAACATAACTCACGCCCGTGACCCAGAACGGTAGACAGAGATCCGCCCGCTGCTCAAGCCTCTTCCACATTCATACATCTATACTAAGCTCATTTGTCGGTGCAAGAGCACTCATGTTATTTCATAATAACTTAAAAATTAAATTAATAGAAAAAAAATGATGTGTCATAGATTCATACAAATAAAAGCAATGATAAACTGTGACATTAATTATAGACTATTCCAAGGAGACGTATTTAATTACGGTTTCGCTACTTCATATGGTTTCTAATCCATCTTGGATTAAAATGATAACGGGCTAATACAATGATCAACAAACAAGTACCTTTAAAATTATCTTACTAATCTTACTAATATTACAAATGCATATATTTAGATGAATGGATGTTTGTTTGAACATATCTCCGAAAACGATCAACATATCTTGCTGAAATTTGACATAGTTGTAGAACATAGTTACTTATTAAGTTTTTCTTTATTCCAAGCGGACAGAGTCGCGGGCGACAGCTAGTAGTTCATAAAACTACACTTACAAACGTCTGTACAAAACCATATACTTAAAAGTCAACAGAAATAATATATCTTGATACAGATGAGATACGATTGACATGCCTGTATCCTGTTATTATATTAATTGTATCCTTTTAACAGAATCGCCGTCTCTCCGATATACGTTTGTAGACAGATTACAATATCAAGAACATGCTTCTGTTTAAAATCATGTATTAGCTACAATTGTTTTGTTAGGTGTACACCTGCTCCATTCCTCAGCCAAATTTATTCCGCACAGAGTTCAATTGTGCCAATACGGTCTTATTTAGCATTTGGCAGACGGTAATAGAGTTTAGAAATATTTACTTTCATCACTGCATTTTGTCCATCGCTTTGATTGTGAAAAATGGCTTATTAACCGAGCAAGTTAATATATAAATGAAAAAGAAAAACAAACGAAATCAGCTGTAACAATCAACAATTACACATCACAGAAGCATGCTACGGCCATTATTAAACTACGTTAACGTGAATTAATTACTTAGTACTTACCACCATTATCATACAGTTGAGCAGTATTGGGATTGAGAACACGACTGAAATGAAGAGGCCCTTGCTGTCAAAGTACTGCTGTCGGGAGAACAATGTCCAATTCCTTGCAGCCACTTCGTTTATATTCTCCGAGAAATACACCAATAGTACTGTAAGAAAAGGATTTAAAGTTGTGTACCAACATTTATAATAGTTAGGGTGTACTTATGATTCATCATCATCAGCTCACTATACGTCCCCACCGAGGGGATCGGAGCCTACCCTAATTAAGGGGTGATTAGGCCATAGCCAACCACGGTAGCCATTGCGGGTTGGTTGACTTCACACATATCTTTAAATTTCTTCGCAGATATGTGCAGGTGATGGATAACTTATGTTTTTGGTATTTTAGAATTGAATTAACTCAAGTAACATTCAGTAAATAATTTAAATATTTTACCGGGCAAACGTATTCGTTAGTGTAGTTTTTAAAATGACCTTTAACATGCGTCTGTATGAGGTGTTACTTTAAATCCGACATAGCAACGTATTGACATTGGTTAGCGTATTCATTACCATATGTTGAATGTTTAGCTAACTTATGAAACTATTTTTTTATTCTATAAGGTTGCAAACGAGGAAACAGCCATCTTATTTTTCTTTCTGTGCATCCTCTTCTCCGTCGATTAAAGGTAGGCAACGCATATGCAATTGCGTATGTCCATGGGCAACGGTCACTTCGCTATTTCAGCGTTTTTAGATGGCCGCTCGCTTGCTTGTCACCTTATGATACTAAAAAAAAAAGGAACGTGACCTGTGCCCATAGGTATCTGTATTTGCAGATGCGTTGTTTCCTAGATTCGACATTATTATTATTACTTATATATTAGGATTTTTTCCAGTAAGGCTATAGTTAAATTTATATCAAATAGTCGAATACTCAAATTCATTAATCAATACATACTATTAGCTGTTTGAATAAACGGATGTTTACTTATTCTCGAATACGCAAAATTAAATTATGTGTTGTTTCAAAACTAAAATTTAAAAATAACCTATCCAGATATTTACAATTTGAAACAACAGGATGTGGGAAGTAATACATATTCATAATAAACAGCACGAGTAATACGAAACATATAAAGAATAAAGTAACTAATTGTCAAAGTTACGAATACAAGTTTCATCTTTCAATATAATTTTGATTTAATCAATCCCTTCTTTTTTTATATACATAATTTAAATATTGTAGTACGTCTTCGCTTTTATTTAAAGATTCTACGTTTCGGCTTAAATCATTAGCTTCAATCACAGCTAACTATGCATGGGGTCTGATAAGATTGGACTTGTTTCATCTTCCTATTCATCATTATCACTCAAAGCCTCCGTGTCAATAGCATTTTAAATGAAATGTTCAATAGTTTGCATCTCGTGAGGTGCCACATTATTATCGATGGAAGAATAACCAGGATAATCCTGCTGTATCACAGGTCCTTATTCTTCTAACACGAAGTCAATAGCGGGGTTAATTCGGAAACCATGTATATTTAAAGTCACCGTTATATTCTTTAACATAGCTGAAATATGACTTCGCGATCTCTTTGCGAAATTTTAGTATAAAAATTATTATAATCATATTGCCACTTACACAGATATTTTAGTCTTTACGTTTTGTAAAGAGTGCTATTAAAAGAATACACTTTTAGTGTCGGTGTATTCATGTTCAAAAATAAATATTTATAGACGTCATAGACAAAATTCTAGAGACACTATTAAAATATTTTTACAACTTCCTTTATAAAAATGTGCATTATTTTAAAATTAAAATTCATCACGAAAATTGTTTTTACAATTATGACTAAATAAAAAAATACCAAAACATTAAAATGTAACCTTCAGAAATATGAGATAAGCTGAATATGAATATAACAAACACCGCACATCCACAAGCGCGATTGCGGCCGTACGCGTTACATACTTCTATAAGCTAAGTATGTATAATCTCCAGAGTTACCGTGGCGCACGTCTGGTAACTTAGTGCAAATTGGGTTTAAATGTAAACAAAAAATAATATCTCGTTTATTCCATTTCAGATAGGTAAAAATTTTTGATATGCAGCTAGGTTATAAGGTTACCAAATATACATACATATGTCAGATATAAATCAATAATGTATACTGGATTTTAACTACAGTCCTTATTCACAATCCCATTAATCGCAGTTTGCCAAATAACAGGCAAAAAAAATGTAGGCAAATTCTGTATCTTAATAAAATAGAAATGTCCGTGTGTAATATCAGAGCAAAAATGGTACATAAAATTCTGTCCGTCTTCCTGCAAGGCCATGTTTATTTCGGTAATCTCTGGATTGGCTAAGTTGAATTTGAAGGCACTTGTTCGGAAGGTAGGTATTGCATACAGGCATATTATGGGTTACTCTCTTTTTTCAGCACTGACGAAATTGCTGGTAACCGCTTAAAATATTTGCTATAACCTGACTACTTAAATAGACATGTAAAATCTCTTCACATTTATACAAGGAAGAGACAAGGACAAATGGAACAAGTGACATCACTAATACTATTTTGTGCTTTAACTTATAAACTGGCTAAGACATTTTACATTCACATTATCAAACATGTAAAATGAAATTGAAAAAAATAACTAATACAATTATCTTCCTCGAATAAACATGATATACTTTTATATAATTTAATTTTTTTAAGAACAAAATCATCTTATATGGAAATATCCCTCCAACAAATAAAGTATCTATTTGTCTTTAGTCTATACTTGTGAAAGTGTCAATTTAAATTTCTATTTAATCTCCTTTATTTTATATTAATAATAATAGTAAATACTTACATAATGTTATGAATAGAATAACTTGAAAATTTCCATAATTCCGTGTTGAAAAGCATGTAAATGTGACCAAGATGTGAAAAGACAGAAGCGCTATGAGCCATGGATCGCGCCATTCAATCTGCAACACGATTTTATTTGTAGAATGAACATAGTTTAAGTACAGTATATCTTATATCATAGTAGCTACTTGGTGTGTTATTCAAAATTATATGATACTCTATAAATATCGTATACAATAAGTGCACTAAACGCTAGATTGTTTAGGTTTGAATGTAAGATAACAAGAAAAATTTTCAAATGGTTTTTATTGTACAAAATATTTCATAGATTTTTGTAATATCTTGTGAACACAATTTAAATAAGAATATGATTACAACTGTTATGAAAATAGTTATAGTAAAAGACTTGTTAGGAAATAAGTACAAACACTTACGCGATAAAATATAGGAGAATTAAAAATACTATTACGGAACAAAAAAATATTAATACTTATACTTACACTACGTATGTATGATACAAAATCGGATATTTCATTAACTTCAATAAAACCCTCCATTGTTTACTTCTAACCGGCACTTAAATTAGAAAATGCTGATTTCTGAAATACTCTTTTGACTTTTGACAAAAATGACAAAACTTTACTTCGCCTTCAATTCAACATTTTTTTACAATATATTGAAAGAGGCAAAGGTTTTGATGTTTCAGCAACACCCGTCAAGTGCTTCTTCAAATGTCCAAAATGACATCATTTTGTTTTCTGCTCGAAAATTTCTTTCTTTCTTCTTTTCTTTCAAAAATAAATTTTCCAATATTCATTTTAAATATTTTAACACAATAATATTTCGTTTCATTTTTTTTAAAGTAACTGGTGGTTCATGTTATGACGGTATAGAATTATGAAATAAGTTGTATGGTGGAATATGTGCGAAAAGTTCCGTTTTAATATCAATTGCTTCGACTGATATTTTTGTTCCTTACTCAATGCTAAAGACAAAATAATAGGTTAACTTTCAAATCAAAAATTTTAATGTTTTTGGTTGTAGGATTTAAAGGTCTTTGCCACAAGGCTTCTGTCAAAAAGTAAAAAGTCATTAATGTTTGCTTTGTCAAACAATAGCAATCGTCGCATACATGTTTTTTTGGGATAGAAAATAGAAATCGTTTGTTGTGAAAGATCTACAATGCACTTAAAAGCGTTATCTATATAATACCAAATATTTAAGAAATGATGAATTAATATTAGGATTTGTTTAAGGAACAGTGAATCTATCAATATGTTTTAGTGTATTAAGTAATAAGTTAGCCGGTATAACAAAATGTTTTATTTAGTATTAATACAAGTTCTATCTCTTCTATCTTTATCAATAAGTAATGTGTCAGGAGTACAAGCAATTGGTGGTTTAATTCGATCCCAAAAAGGAATATATTCCGTAGATTTGGGTGGATGTGGTAATATTCAAAAAGAATGTTCAAGTTTGCGTGATGACCTTAATATTTTGTCTTGTGCACTAAACGCAACACGTAATAATAAAACACAAGCTAGTACACTTTGTCAACACAAAGTTTGGATGCACCAGGCTGAATTACTAGATAATGCCTACATAGATTACAAAATCAAAGAACCATGCCAAGATGAAGCTGCTATAATAGATTGTTTGAATCCTTCCGACTTAAGCATAGATTGCATTTTAAAAAGGAAGCCCAGTGTGAAAGATAAAACATGTTTGAATCTCATTGACAAAATTGAGCTTTTAATTTTTAACGATTGGCTAATGACAGGCAATTTTTTAAGACACTGTTTTGATGATATTAACACATACAGCTGTGGCAGAATTTCTACAGACTTAAAGAGTATGTCACAATCTCAGACATTAAATTGTCTACAAGGATTAGTTGAAAACCTCCGTCCTGAGTGCCAATCTGAAATTATAGTATTGAATGAGATGAAATATAACACAATACAATTGGATAAAATTGTTTTTGCTGCTTGTAATGTAGATGGCAAAAACTTTTGTGCCGATGAAGTGCCTGGTTCTCGATTAATGTATAAGTGTCTTGTTCGTCATAAATATGAAAAAGGTTACCTTTTCTACATTTGCTTATTTTTGTCATGATTTTTTTGAAATAACTATTATTTTCCAATTATTCCTTTCAGGTATGACAAAAACATGTCAAGATCAACTATTTTATGTCCAACGAAATATGGTTAACAATTACAAAAATAGTAAGGGATTAGTTAAGTCTTGTAAAGATGATATCAGAAAATATCGCTGTAGAAAAGGTGTTGTAGAAGATAAAGAAGTGAGACTTGCACAAATATTATTATGTTTGGAAAATATATCTAGAAATGACAGCACAAAATTAACACCTGAGTGCATTGCAGAAATGACAGATCATAGAAAGATGTTAATGGAAGATTACAGGCTATCTACTGAGTTGATGCAAAACTGTGCAAATGATATAACAAACTTATGCAGAGGAATTGCAGCGGAAGGCAAAATTATACATTGTTTAATGGAGCATGCTAGACCTAAGAAAAAAAAGGAAAAAAGAATCAGTATGACTTGTCAAAGGTCATTAGAAGCTTTGGTACAAGAAGCGGATCCAGGAGAAGATTGGAGAGTAGATCCTATTTTACGTAAAGCATGTAAACCTGTAGTTGATAAAGCTTGCAGGGAAATAAATGGTGGCAATGGTAGAGTTATGTCATGTTTGATGGAAAAGCTTGGAACTGAATCCATGACACCTGACTGTGAAACTGCATTACTGCAAATTCAGTATTTCATATCTAGAGATTTCAAACTTGATCCCCAATTATATAAGGCATGTATATATGATGCTGTGACTCAATGTAAAGCTAAACTACAATGGGCTGATGCTAGCGAACATCAATCTGCTAAAGACCCTTTAATTCTTCCATGTTTATATAATTATGCATATAATTCTGCACTAAGAGGTATATTAAAACCTGCCTGTGAACAGCAAGTTCGCAGAGTAATGAGGCAGAGGGCTGTTAGTGTAGATTTGTTACCTGAAATTGAAGACCTTTGTATAGATGATTTGACTAATTTGTGTTTTGAAAACACTGGTAAAGGTGAAGAAATAATGTGTTTGCAAAATAAAATTAAAGATTTGTCTCCTAAATGCCGAGAAGTAGTAACAAATTTCACTGAAACACAGAGTGGACACATTGAACTCAATGCTATTGTTAGTACAAACTGCCGAATGCCTATAGAAAAACTGTGTTTATCAGAACTAAACAATAAAAAAGATGATGATGATGTACTGGATTGTTTGATTGCTCACAAAAATGATGCACAGGTAAAGGCAAATGTAAAATGCAGAGCAGCAATAGAACATGAACAGTTAATTGCATTAAAAAATTATAGATTTACAAGGAAATTCAAAAATGCTTGCAAATCTTATGTTGTAAGATTCTGTCCTAAAGCACAAACGAAAAGCCAGGTTGTTACGTGTTTAAGTGAAATTGTAAGAAACGATACGATAACTCGAAGAAAACACACGATATTTAAAGACTGTCGACAACAGTTGAGAAGCCAATTATTTCAACAAAAGGAAAACATCGATTTAGATCCGGATCTCAAGGAGGCTTGTGCTAAAGATCTACAAACGTATTGTCCTGCAGTACCTCACGGAGAGTCTGCAGCTTTAGAATGTCTTCAAACTGCTAAAGGAAAGTTAAGTGAAGGATGCAGAAAAGCTATTTTTGTTGTTCGAAAACAAGAATTTACAGACAATGCTATAGATTATCACTTGATAACCAGCTGTAATGATATGATAGACTTATATTGTCACAATACAGAAGCCTCTAATATATTAGATTGTTTAAAAGTAAGTTGCCTTGCAATTCTCTTGAATTTCTATGTGATAGATAACTGAAATGTTGATTGTTTGCTATTTGATTCTAGGTACATCGTCAAAAGCCAGATTTTGATGAAAATTGTAAAATCGTTATTGTTAATAGAATGATTGAGCAAAACATGGATTACCGTTTCAATAATAATTTGCAAAACGCATGCAAAATGGATATTAAAAAATTTTGTTTCAAGATTATAGGTAAGTAGGGTGGGTTCTAATCTAAAGATATATTAAAATTAACTTTGTTATACTGTTTTTTAAATTTTAATTAAATATATTGCAGCAATTGAACCACAAGATATGGAATTACAAGGCAAAGTATTGTACTGCTTAAAAGAAAAGTTCAGAGAATCTAAGTTATCATCTACTTGTGAAAATGAACTTGCTAATATACTAAAAGAGCAGGCTTTAAATTACCGTCTGGATCCATTACTCGGAAAATTGTGTAAAGCAGAAATACAAACTATTTGTGCCACATCAAAAGACTCCGTTACAAATGCTGATGGTCAGGTAGGATGCTGACAAGACTCATTTTTATTCAACACATTCAATATTCATCATTATCTGACAAGTTCTTTTGTACAAAACTGTATGGAGCATGAAGTTTATGCTATTTCTTTAATTCAAAAATATTTGTTTCTTTAGGTAGAGGAATGTTTAAAGAATGCTTTGTTAAGTCATAAAATAGTATCGGCTGAATGTGCCCAGGAAGTTGCACAGATAATAGAGGAAACTGAAGTTGATATTGACGCAGACCCTTTACTGGAGAGAGCATGTGCATTGGATTTGTTGAAGTATTGTAAAGAATTAGAACATGGTGCTGGACGACGTAAGTTGTTTTGATTCTTTCTGTAAACTAACTTGTATTCTAATCAGAAACATATGAAAAGCTATTGTGATGGCATAGATTTATGTATTGTTGTTTACAATATATGAAAATAACTATTTAGTTTATTATAATTGTTATATAATAATATCAAATTTTGTTTCTAGGACTCAAATGTTTAAAAATAATATTGAATGACAGTAATAGAAAATTGGAAGCTGAATGTGAAAAACAACTATCAAGCCGTTTGGAAATGTACAGATATGTTGCAGTAAGTTTATTTATTTTGTTTATGTTTTTTTGATATAGTATTAATTGACAAGCTGTCGCCCGTGATTGTGTCCACGCGGAATTAACTTAAAACGTAATTCGTAGCCCATGTGTTGTTCCAAAGTATGTATCTATGCTAAATTTCAGCAAGCCATTCCGGAGATACCTTCAAACAAACATCCATTCCTCTATCCATCTAAACACTCACATTTATAATATTAGTAATTAATTCATAGTAATATGTACATTATTTTCCAGGCAAATCATGCAGAAAATTTAGGGGACATATACAATGAGCTCTCATCATCGCCATCAAAGAAATACTTTCTAGTTGTGGGCATTTCAGTTGTTGGACTTATTTTCATATTTGGTTTATATTGTGGTCGTATGACAAAGCATGCAATGTATGTTAAAAGAAAATAGTTGAATTGTGAATCATGTATTATAACAATAAACAAATATTTTTACTTTTAATTGTATTTTTTTATTAACTCCATTCAGATATTTCATCAAAATCCATATCTTCAATAGTATTAGTTTGTTCCTTTTTAACTATCTTAGTTTCTTTTTTAATTTCTACCTTATTACTGACATTCAAAAGTTTCTGACTTTCCTCAAAATATTGATTTGGATGATTTATTCCCAGACCAAGATCAGTGTTATGGGCTGCATCAAAATATTTACTGCAAGCTATTTGATAATGTCCCTTCTTTGCCATATCTACTATGTCATTCAGAGCTGAAAGCAAAAAAACATGTAAATAATTACATAAATAAATATTTTAATACATTATACCTATGTACATGTATATATTATTAATAATGGACAATTACCTTGATTTTCTATTCCATAACCTTTAAGCCTATTTTTTAAGTTGCTCGGATCACAGTGTCTGTATGGACATCCATGACAATCCCCTGGACCGACATTGTTATTAATAATTTTTAAACAGTTAAAAGCAGTGTAGTTTCTCTTACTTCCTTCTTTACCATAGTTATACCTAACATTATATGCATACTGTTTTTCAAACTTGTCCAATTCCATTATTTTTGTGAATTCATCTCTCCAAAACCTTAAAGAGTCTTCAAGAGTTACACCGATACCTTTTAAAAACAGTCCATACTGCAACCTGCCACCATGTTTTAAGTGATGGCTTAATCTTAACTGCTCATGAAGTTGTCTCATACACAAAGGAAATGATTTAACTGACAGAGAATCTAAGGATTCAATTGGAATTATTACTTTTGTATCGCTGTAGTCATTTCCAGAATATGATTGGTGAAGTCCTTTAAGCAAACCAACAAGCCTTTCATCCTGTTCAATTTCTCCCAGATGATGACAAGCAATTGCTAAACTTTGCTTCAAGTGTATCCTGTACTGTGCTGACAACACAGAAATAAAATCTTTATCAGGTATGTATGCATATCCACTTTGTATATAAACTTTTCTTGCTTTTACCAGATCAAGAACTTCATAAAATTTAACCTTATAAAATTTCAGGGAATCAATCTTTTGGTGCATTGTGGATTCTCTTAAGTAAGGCATTAATTCGTTTTTTTCTTCATCTGAAATACTCGTGTAGCATAACTGATTTATTTTAAAAAATTCCTCTACAGCTTTAGGGGACATTGTCATAAATCGCATCTTGAATAATTCTAACTCCTTTGAAATGAACCATCTGCGTAATTCTTCTGTTCTACAATAAGCCAATCTAAGGATGAAATGTCCAATGTGATCTTTACGCCTCGCGAGTAAATCGCTTTCATTGGTTCCACATCCTGACATATCACATAAATTAGCATAATATTTTAAACCCTGGGTCCTCAGTTCATTTATAACGAAATCTTTCCACTCATCTGAATATATTCGTAATCCTTTAAGAGTTGTGGCAGTCGCCAGGCATCTTAATAAAGTTAGTCTTTCTAAAGCCAAAGTTTCAAATTCCTGAAGTCTTATGTCCTCTACGGGAGGAATTTTATACATTTGTAGATCATGTGGGTAACTTTCTAAAAGATTACTCGTGTTAACAGTACGTGTTGATTTTCTTTTAATTTTCAAGTCCATATTTATTTAATTTAAAACAAAGACTATGTTCACAACAGCAAATGCTAGCTAAATTTTGGCGCGATTTTTGACAGATGAATCTGGTTTCGTTTTCCGACTCGTTGAAATGATTTTGTGCCAAGAATCCAAACCCGGTTTTCTTATTTTACTGCTAATAATCCTAAATAATATTAAAATGGACTATTTGTAATATGTATTTTCAGGACAGGAAAACTAAAAATGAACATTAAGATTGAACATCAATCTCCAAAAATTTTAACTTGTCATATTTCAGCCGACTCCCGCCTTGTTTTATTTGTTATTTTGCACTACTACTTTTAGGGTGAATTTGTATTAACGACGAAGGTCAACATTTATTGGATTTTATATTTTGTATCCATATATTGAAATATAGGTCTTTTAAAATTGTGACGTGTCATTCACGCGCTATTTTATAAATTCTTTGAACGGTGTCATTTGACAATATAATTCTTCTGTCATTTCATCTGACAGGATAGAAGTATCGTGTTGTGGGCTTAAAAATAAACTAAGTAAAATCAAATTTTACATTATTTAATGAATCGATTTGTATAAAAGATTTATAAGAAAATGCGCGCCCTATTTATTAATATTTAAAAACATATTTTTGTACACGACGACAATCTCTGAAATAATTTTCAGAAACATGGTTTCAACTAAAATGCAGTCGTCATTAGACGATTTGGTACAATATACTCAGCTATTCAAGCCTATGGCAACGGTTCTGCAAGGAACTATATTACCTTTCTTAGTAATATATCCAGTGATATTTTATTTTTGGATTGTTGTATATGGTTTCGAAGAAAACTTTGAGGCAGGTTTTGTGACCATTGCTGTGGTAGCAATTATACAAATTCTTATTTGCCTTTGCTGCTATTGGAGTGTTCACATACAATGCTTCTTATCTTGTACAGCCGTAAGTAATTTTTATTTTAAAAATTACCCCAACATATAAGATATGATCTTCATTTCATTTTTTTTTAATTTAAGGTAAAAGATCCCATACAAGCAGAAATTGTAAAAGTTGTCCCAACTTCTAATAATGGGTTCTCGGAAATTGTAAAACTTCATCATACAAAGGTAAGTTTATCATAGTTAATAGTAAAATTTTATTTTTATTATTTAAAATTAAATATACTTTTTACTCTGATTTTAGTCGACTACAAAAGGAAGTCTTAATCCCGACGTTTGGTTTATATTTCAAAAAAGTAAATATGTTTATGACTGGGACAAGAAAATGTTCTACACAATTGCATTCCCTGCTAATAAAACATATGAAGAGTATATGGAATCTAAAGGGTATCTTGATGATGAATCAATTGATATTGCAGAAAAAACTTATGGCAAAAATGAAATGATAATGGTAAGTAAAGTATATTAGAAACTTTTTGTATCTTATTGTAGTCCCACTACTTACATTTCCCCCATTCCTTGTGGTTTAACAGTCTTTCATTATTGCACATTTAATGAATCTCAAAGTTTCTTTGATTTTGAATTCTTTGATTTTGAAGCATTGATTTTCATTGATTATGTATTTGTTTTTTGTTTATACCTGCATATCAATATGTACTTATAGTATGTATTTATTCCGGATGCCTAACAACAACATTTAGTTGGGATAATCAAGTTTCTGCTGTAGTAAAATTCACTTTCATTATCTAGATAAATATTAAATAACTAGCTGTCACCCATGGCTCTGTCCATGTCGAATTTTAGTGTAAAAAAACATAATTAGTAGCCTACGTATTCTTCCAGACTGTGTTCTATATGTTTGCCAAATTTCATCTAGATGCATTTGGTTGTTCTGGAGATACCTTCAAACAAGCATCCATCCATCCATCCATCCATCCAGCCATCTAAACATTAGCATTAGCAACATATTAGTAAGACTATGAAACTTGTAAGAATTTGAAAACTTTGTAGCATCTTTAATATATTTATTATTTCAGGTGGTGCCAGAATTTATGGAATTATTCAAAGAAAGAGCAACAGCACCATTTTTTGTCTTTCAAGTATTTTGTGTGGCTCTTTGGTGTTTGGATAAATATTGGTACTATTCAATATTTACACTTGTGATGCTCGTAATGTTTGAATGTACTTTGGTCCAGCAACAATTGAGAAATATGGCTGAAATAAGAAAGATGGGAAACAAACCTTATAATATCAATGTCTATAGAAATAGGAGATGGCGCCAAATTATGAGTGATCAATTGTTACCAGGCGATATTGTGTCTCTTACTAGATCTCATAGCGACAATTTAGTTCCTTGTGACATACTACTTTTAAGAGGATCTTGCATAGTTGATGAATCAATGTTAACCGGAGAAAGTGTACCTCAAATGAAAGAAGCTCTCGATAATGAAAAGAACCTTAAAGTTAATTTGGATCCTGAAGGGGAAGGAAAATTGCATATGTTGTTTGGAGGTACAAAAATTGTTCAGCACTCATCGCCAAGTAAAAACATTACGTCAGGATTAAAAGCACCTGATAATGGTTGCATCGGCTACGTTATACGTAATGGATTCAATACATCACAGGGTAAACTTCTAAGAACTATATTGTTTGGAGTAAAGCGGGTAACAGCAAACAATCTGGAGACATTTGGTTTTATCTTATTTTTGCTAATATTCGCAATCGCTGCTGCTGCATACGTTTGGATAAAAGGCTGTGAAGATCCAGAAAGGAATAGATACAAGTTGTTTTTGGAATGTACTTTGATATTAACATCTGTAGTGCCACCTGAACTTCCCATTGAATTATCTCTAGCTGTGAATACATCGCTACTATCACTGTCAAAATTAGCAGTTTTCTGTACGGAACCATTTAGGATACCTTTTGCTGGCAAAGTGGAAATTTGTTGTTTTGACAAAACTGGTACATTGACGAGTGACAATTTAGTAGTTGAAGGTGTTGCTGGAATTGCAGGTCATACAGATGCAACTGTCATACCTTTATCAGACGCACCAATTGAAACTATACAAGTGTTAGCATCATGTCATTCTCTGGTCCAACTCGATGATGGTGTGGTCGGTGATCCATTGGAAAAAGCAACATTAAAAGCCGCAGAATGGAATCTAACAAAGGGTGACGCTGTTGTACCTAAGAAAGGGAAATCGCCCGGTTTCAAAATAGTACATAGAAATCATTTTTCAAGCGCCCTGAAAAGAATGTCTGTAATAGCTGGATACCAAATGCATGAGCGAGGCTTTATTGAAACACATTATATTAGTAGTGTCAAAGGTGCGCCCGAGACAATAAAAACTATGCTCAAAGATGTTCCTAGTCATTATGACCATGTTTATTTGACATTGTCTCGAAGAGGAGCGCGAGTTCTTGCATTAGGATACAGGAGTTTAGGAAAACTGACTTCTCAAGAAATTAGAGATTTATCCAGAGAAGATATAGAGTGTGATTTGACATTCGTTGGTTTCGTTATAATTTCATGTCCGTTAAAAAGTGACTCGAAGAAAGCTATTGCTGAGATTGTTCATGCATCACATTCAGTTGTTATGATTACCGGTGATAATCCATTGACAGCATGTCACGTTGCCAAAGAATTGAAATTTACACAAAAGAATGAAGTTCTTATTTTGACAGAAGTGAATGATGATTGGGCATGGAAGTCTATAGATGATAATGTCGTGTTACCAATAAGTAATCAATCGGAGAGAGAATTGATTAAAAAATATGATCTGTGCATCACCGGAGAAGGTCTAACATTCCTAAATGAACATTACCATGAACTTATGATTAAATTAATGCCTTATATTAAAGTATTTGCGAGATTTGCACCGAAACAGAAAGAATTTGTAATTATTACTCTAAAATCGTTAGGTTACGTGACTTTGATGTGCGGTGACGGTACAAATGATGTTGGCGCTTTGAAACATGCCGATGTAAGTTGACCATTTTTTATTTTTGTTCTCATCACTATGAACTTAATATGTATAGTAGAGGTCAGATATTATTTCCTAAAGAATTATATAAATCTAGATGTAACACATTGTAGGTGGGTGTGGCAATATTAGCGAACGCACCAGAGCGTGCCCGTGAGAAGCCCCGTGAGGAGCGCACACCGGAGCCGGAGCTCCCGCGGCGGCTGCCGGGGCCGCGCACGGATGCGAGGGCGGAGGCTCGCGCTGAGGCCGCGGCGAGACTGCGTAGAGCCATGAAGAAGCTGGAAGAAGAAGATCAACCACAATTGGTTAGGTTAGGGGATGCTAGTGTGGCAGCGCCGTTCACCAGTCGCTTATCCAGTATACTGTGTAGTGAGTATTTATTTGTCATTAGTAATTTCTTTGCTTTTTTAATGTTAATCTTAACATGTAAATATAACGCACCTATTAGAAAAAAGGATGATTTACTCGATAAATTCATAAAGTTAATTTCGTTAATAGTCTTTTATCTACATAAAGTATATACGTATAATATAAATTCGAATGTATGGATGGATGTTTGTTAAAGGTCTCTTTTAAGGGATATTGATGAAATTTGACATAGATGTAGAACATAGCCTGAAAGGACACATAGGCTACTAATTCAGTTTTTTTAATTCCCCACGGATGTGGTTGGAGGCGACAGCTATTACTGACGACTATGTTGATAATATGGTCAACAATTAAACATAATATAATATTGTGTCGTGTTGCAGTATGTCACATAATCAAGCAGGGACGGTGCACGCTGGTGACGACGCTGCAGATGTTCAAGATCCTGGCGCTGAACGCGCTGATCCTGGCGTACAGTCAGTCCGTGCTGTACCTGGACGGCATCAAGTTCAGCGACACTCAGGCCACGCTGCAGAGTCTGCTGCTCGCCTCTTGCTTCCTCTTTATATCACGATCAAAGGTAATCAAATAAACTGTTTACTCCTAATTTGTGAATTTCAAAATTAAATAAAATTTGCTTAAATTTACAATTTATAATAACCGCTAGTAAGGTATAATAGTTTATAAATATCTAATCTTTAAAGCTAATAAAGCAAATCCTTTGATAAAATATTAAATTCCAAATCTTTTATTAACCCAAACATTTACAAAAGTTACAATTTGAAGCTAGTTATTATGTTATTATATATTTACTCTGTTAATTAAACTATAGCACTAAGACGAAAGAGTCCTGGCTTCTATAATACGGTTTAGAATTCTTTAGGAACTAGGCGGACTACTACTTCATCTCCATCATACTTCTGTTGCTTAAAAAACGATTATTATTATTTACTTTATTTTAATTGCACTGGCATCTTCTGATGTATTGAAGTACTTCGTAAATCCTGCTCGAAGGATCATATTTTGATGCGTTGGTTGCAGCCACTGAAGCAGCTGTCGAAGGAGCGTCCTCTCCCCAACATCTTCAATATGTACACAATAATGACAGTACTGGCGCAGTTCGCGGTGCACTTCCTCTGCCTCATATACTTGGTGCGAGAGGCGACAGCGCGCTCGCCTGACAGGTGACAAACATCTATACAATTCGTTACATTCAACTGTATACGTTACATTTGCTTCGCTTATAACAATATTTTTTTTGTCTGTCTGCGAAACTGCTGGGCTGATTTTGATGAGAAGGTAGTGGATGCGGGCTTAATTTTTTTTTAAAGCAGTTTTTAGTTAATTTACTAATATTTCTTGTACTAAGTAAGTTTTATGCCTGTGATAAGATATGGTTTACGACAATCAAATGGCGGGATTTGAACTTTCGAACGATCGATCGGAAATTAGCCTCAACCATTTGGCTATTGGCGTTATATTTTAGATTATTTTTAAGTGATTATCTAATGAATATTTTCTCATTGTACGACAGAGATGTGAAGCCAAAGTTGGACATGGATCTGCAGGAGAACGAGGAGCGCGAGTTCGCTCCGGACTTACTCAACAGTACCGTATACATTATCTCAATGGCGCTGCAAGTCTCCACATTCGCTATTAACTACAGGGTAAATGTTTGTTAATAAAATTGAAAAATAATAGATAAATTTCAAATCCAATTAAAACCCTAAAATTCGAAAATTGCAAAGTATTTCTGGTAGAAAATACGAGACTTTTGCTCAAATACCTTTATAGCATTAGCTAACCTTACTTTACAATATCACTTCATACTGTCACAATTTTCACAAAATTATAAAAAGAAACAAATACTGTAATGGCCGCCATGTTGTGTAATTGATTCGTGACTTTGTGTACCTAATTCTTGACTGTGTACTTAATTTGTGACTTTGTGTACTTAGGTCGTGACTTAGTGTACTCAATTACGATTTTGTGTACATAAACATAAAAACCTCTAGTCAGTCGGGTAAAAAAGCCTTTATATCCAGGGTGAGCCGTTCATGGAGGGTCTGCGCGACAACAAGCCGCTCCTGTACAGCGTGGCGCTGTCAGGCGGCGCCGTGCTGGCGCTGGCTGCCGGTGTGCTGCCTGACCTCACCAACATGTTCGAGATCGTCTACTTCCCGCCTGACGTGAGTACAACTTCGCATTCACTACTCTTCATCATCACCTCACAAACATCCCCACGCAGGCTCGTAGCCTAAGTGAGCGGTGACTAGGTCTTAGATTGACCAGGGGGGCTAGACAAAGTTTATTCGCCACGAAGCGATTCGATAACGAATTCCAAAAATGTATGGACAATAAGTTTCGATAAGTCACGTGATTGTTGCGCGTCACTTCCATACAATTTTAAAGTTCGCTATGGAATCGCTTCGAAGCGAATGCACTTTGTCCATCCCCTCAGGTTGACTACATCTTTCTCACTTATTCTTGAGTATTTTTAAGACAAGTAAAACAAGAAACGAGTGAAATAATAAAAAAAAAATGGGTCCCACCTACAAGCAAATCTTTCGATCAAAAAAAAAATCAAAATCGGAGCGCCATGGGCGGAGTTATGCGGTAACACACATAAAAATATACGGACGAATTGATAACCTCCTTCATTTAGGTTATCAAGTCGCCTGTATGTTCTTTTTTTTTAAAGTCGGTTAAAAATGTGTATTTTTGTTGCAGTACCGAGTGATATTAATACAAGTGCTGATAGCGGACATGGTGTTCGCGTATCTCGCGGACCGCGCATGTCTCTGGCTGTTCGGTGAAGGTCGCGCCGCCTCGCCCGCTTAGTGCGT